GTCCCCATCAAGCCATATGTGGACAGGGGTCAAGCGCACACACTTGTCATATGTATGTGTGTCTCAGTACAGAGTCACTAGTGTGTTTTGTTACTTCTGATTGTATATATGCACACTTTCTATCTGCTCATATATATACAAAGTTTATATACAGTATGTTTTTCTTCCTATCACCCAAAGCCCCCCAAATAGGCTAGTAATTATGATGATACATAATTTTATTGGTGTGATACCACACTGATTTAGAAGTTGTACTGTTTGCTTTTACATTTTAAGTCATAAATAATTTACAATTCAGTCACATATGAAAAATATCAAGGCCCCATAAACCAATGTATTATCAGTTTGCTTATTTAACTGGTTATTGTTTTCTTCCTGAATTTATGTTCATATACATACTCTTATACATACAAATATACCCAGAAAGCATTCCTGCACATAAGAAAACTGACCAAGGCTCTGATTATGTAAAAGACACAAAACTTTACTTTGTAGGTTAATATGCTGGTACAAGAAGTCTTGCAAGGCACCATGATCACTCATACAGATAAAACCACCATTAGGTAATAGTATGATAATATAATATGATTTAGAATATTTGTTACTCCTAGTTGACATAAACTAAAATCTATTTGTGCTACTCAGTATTTATGTGTGTACCTAAGGAATTGTGTATTGGACAGACGTGTGTTAATGGCCTTTTCTAACAAAAGGTGAAAAAGGAGCTAACAGTACTGTTATTAAACTAGATATAAAAATACTATAAAGCTTGTATTTTGGATCATAGAGACCTTTTACATAAAAGTTTTGGTGCTAGTTCTCAGATATTTAATATTTTAGATGAAATGCCATACACCAAAATCTTTCTGGTTTTCACAAAGAAACTACTGGAATTTTCACATGGAGACTACTGGAATTTTCATGGAAACTTGATTTCTTATAAGTTCACTATCTATGTTCAGACATTTGGCTGAACTACCCACTTGTATTCTGAGAAAATCTTAGGTTTCACGCTTCAGCATTAGCAATACCTTTCTTTTCGATGCATAATAAGTCTTGTGCTCCAAAACTTGAAACAGTTGAGAAGTTGTCCAGCCAAAAGGCAGCAGCTGAAATTCTGCTTTAGGTGGCATGAAAGCACCTAACTGTTTAACTTCTAAATGTTATTACCTCTGAAGTCTGAGGGCAGTGCCATTTTGCAGCATTTGGTAAAGTTTGTGAGCATGGTCTGAGGGAGAGAGGAAAAACATAGGTCTGCACTGCTGGCAGAAAACTGCTCTGGGAAGTGAGGATGGGAGGTAGGGAGTGAGCCCATCTGGCCATGGTGTCAGAAAGTCTTTCTGGTTCTTTGCTATGAGGTGAGCTGCAGTGTAGGATGTCCCCCATCCTGGCCACCTGTGCCAGAGTTGAGTGTGAGGCACGGAGGGTGGAGACTCTGGGTGAGGGTGACTCAGCTTTGGTATCTGCCACTTACTTGTGTAAAAACTGCCTTTTCTTCCTGAACATGCATTTTTGTTGCACAAAGTTTTCTAGCACCCCTTTGCTTGTGCCCAGCTGTGTGTGTGTCCAAGTATTGTATCCTACCTTAGGCCATCCTGGCTCCTGGAAGTCCAATGGGTTAGGATTAGTGTTAGAGAACAGCTCTCTCACCAAGAAGGTCAGATGATGACTCTTATTTTCTTAATTGCCCACATTGAAATGCTAGTTGAACTTCCAGATACAGCATGGAGATTGGCATAGCTCTAGCAGTGAGGACAAAAAGCAACTGTCCTCCAGCCTGGAGCTTCAAGGGTAGAGAACTTTTAGAAGTAACAGTATTTTTAGTATGTGGTCTGAAGGGTCTTTGGGGGTGTGGGGAGTTCATGCAAGCCAGGATTTGAAAGCAACTGAATCACTTTCTCACAAGGCCTCCCTGTATGCCAGGGACCAGCCACTGTGTCTGCTGGTCCTTGCTACATCAATACCATATTTCTCCAGGCTACCCAGTTACCACATACCTTTTTACACACCTCTGCAAAAAAGTGGTAGAGAGTTGCCCTTTTTTTATTGTTTTAATGTAGTGCTTTCTCCATTTTGGAAAAATCTTTAGGTTGCTTTCCTGTGAAAGGAGCTGAATGGTTGAGGTGGGATGGAGGAGGGTGGGGAGTGTAGGCATGTGTGCAACTGTTTGTGTGGAGAGTTCTCCCAGGACAAAGCCTTCCTCCTGTATGGGTTCCCACTGGGATTAACCAAGAGAGAAGCAGTGCTGAAACATGCGTTTGAGTGCTCAGTTCAGCTTGCTTTTAGTGATGTACTAGAAGCCTTAGGGTCAAACTGGAGGCAGACCCATGGCAACATGTACTAAGCCTGCCATGCCTCCTAGATCATACAGAAGACAAGGTGCTGCTGGAGCTGTGCTGGCTGGGCAGCTTCATTTCCCCCAAGATGCCTTCACACGAGGGGTCTATTCAATTCTGGCCAGCAAACTGCCTCTGGGGGTGGGGGTGTCTGGCTTTATCGTGGTCCCCAGCAGCGCTATTCTGGGGGATGCTGGCATATGCTGCAGGGATGTCTGTGCTCATCTGCTGCTTTGTGTGCTCTGCGTAGGGATGCAAACCCACCATCAGCTGGCTCTTGAGGGCATGCAAACCCAATCTCACACTGACTCAACATCCCTTGCAGTAGCAAGTGCTGTAGAAAGTGACCATTTTCTCTCTGCCCTTACCTTGCTCCATTTGTTTTTTCCTTCTTGTCTCACCTTGCTTGCTAGACTTTGTGAGGCAGTTCTTGCTTTTGGTGCACAGGACTCTAGCAAAAAGCAATCCCTTGTCCAGATCCTGGGAGAGAGTAGGGCCGCCTGCAAGCCCTGCCTGAGAATGGAGAGACCTCACACCTATGCAGCTCACAGGGGCAGTCTTGCTGATGTAGTGTTGGGAGCTTGCCCTGATCCTTATGGAGGGATGCGAGGGATAAAGGGGACAGAGGAGCGTTATTTGGTTTTAAATCAGGGCTGCGATAATGGTTTGTTGTGTAAGAGTTCAAATGCTCAAAGAGGTGTGTTCAAGGACATCAGTGCATTTGTGCCAAAGGGAATGTCTTTCACGGTAAATTAACTCCACTTAAATAGAATATTTATTTGAAGGGAAACTCTGGTATTTTAAGCTGGTGTTGTCAGCTTTTTGCAGTGTCTGAGTAAAGCAAAAGACGATAGGATTTGAGGGGTATTCTACAACATATATAAAAATAAATTTTACTCGTTATGGGTAACCCCGAGTTTGCCTCATCCCTTCTTGCCTAAGTGCATGCCCTGAACTTGTCACTTAAAAATACGATCTGTAGAAGGGAAAACGCACCGCGTTTAAACCCTGCAAGTCTGAGGGAACTGTGCAAGAGCAGCCAGAAGCCGAGCTGTGAGGATGCGGCGTGGATTCTGCAAGGGTTAACGCGTTTGGCTCATGCTGTTTCCTTTGACATTACCTGTCTTGTACGGGCTCTCTCCTTCCCCCGCCCATCCCTTTGCTTAGTTTGGTTTGTAAATTTATGGGAATTGCAGCTGGTAGCCTTGGCAAGCTCCCCTCATTAAGAGCCTTCTTTGAAAATGGGCTGTGTTTGAGCATTTCCGTAATGAGGACAGGACGGGGTTAAAAAGTGACCATTTCATGGTTGACTTGAACCTGCTTACTTTCCTTGATGTGTCGTTGTGAAATGCCTGACGTGAATAAACTCTCACTTTGGGCAAGGAGGAAGTCAGCGGTCCCTCCGGGACGTCGCCGGGGGCTGCGCACTGGCACCGGGAGGGAGCGCCGGTGCCGCCCGGCCGCCGTTCCTGCAGCCGGCAGCGACAGTTCTGTATGTGGGGGCTGCACACAGCGGGTGCCCCCTCAGCTCTGCAGTGCATCGCAGTCCTCCTCACAGGCGCAGAAATTAAGTTTCGCTCACTGCTTTTCCCCCCCTTTCCCAGCTACCCCGGTTAAAGCTGCCCCGGGAGAATGAAACCAGACCTCCCGCCCTGTTGCTGCCTGGGAGCCGGGACCCCTTCGCCGCCCCCGGCCGCAGCCTGCGAGGGCGGGGACATCAGTCACGGGCGGTGCGGGGAAGGGTCCCCCCTTTGGGCGGGGTGCCGGAGGGGGCTGCCCTCCCCCGTGTCCCCCGCGGGAAGTGGGGGGAAGCGGGGGCGCCTGGGCCCCGCCGCAGCTGGCAGAGTCGTACCCCGAAAGGAGAAGAAAAAGAAGCCTCTCGCAGATGGCAGCCCCCCCCCCCCCCGCCCTCCCGCCGCCGTCTTCCCGCCCCCTTTCCCCCCCCGCAACTTTCTCCCACCAGAAGAGCGGGAAAATGAGGGAGGGATGTTTGCTAAACGTGCTCGTTCCTTCTGCAGCGTTCGGTGGTGATGAATGCAGAGGGAGGGTAAAGGAATGGGATCTGATGGAGAAGAAATGTGTTTGCAGGGGTAGGAGGAGTGTAAGCGGTAATTGTGTAATTAATTAATTAAAAAAAATACTTAAGTCTCATTTGGGGAGAAAGCTGGAACGGGGTCCAGAGGGTGTAACCGGTGAATTTTTCAACTTCCAAGTTTTGCAGAGGGACAGGCGGAGGGGTTGGGGGTGGGGGGACACACACACGGACACGGCGAGAGCAAATCGGGTGGGAGCGCCAGGGAGAGATTTATCGTTTGAATTTTCAGGAGATCATTTTTATTAAGGTGGGCGTTTGGAAAGCAGTCTCCCCACTGCCCGCAGAGCGAGCGAGGGCGGGCGAGCAGAGGCCGCCGGAGGAGCCCGCAGGCCGCGCCGCCCGCTCTGCCCGCCCGGGGCGCGCTCCCGCCCTGGCGCGCTCTCGCGGCACGATCCCGACGACCCGGCGAAGTTTCTCCTGCCATCACTGTCCGGGAGCTTCTTGCTCCGCTCCGGGCTGTAAGCTTGAACTTTCGAGAGCGTGGTGACAGTGTTGTGTTATTACGGCACCACCACCAACTTCTTTAAAAAAAAAGAAAAAAAAAAGAAAAAAAAAAGGATTAAAAAAAAAAGAGCTAAACAAAAAAATCCTCCCGCCCACCCCCCCCACCCCCTCGAGTCCTTCCCCCCTCATCTGCAAAACAACCAGCAGCAGCAGCAGCAGCAGCAAAAGCAAGACTCCTGAGCCGCCGACTACAAGAGGGTTAAAAGTGTAGATTGGATTTCACCCCGGGAAATCTAGCACACGGAGTGAACTTGAATCTTTGGCTATTTAAGGAGGACTGGGGTTTGTTGAGAAGTTGTGGTGATCCAGAGCAGAGCCCCGTCCTGATTGATTTCATCTTCCTTGAGTCTCAGATGACTGTAAAATGAATAGATGAAATTATTCCTTTTTGAGGCTTTTCTTAGGGGCTCTCCGGGCAGCGTGTTCTCAAAGCGAAGTCATGATGTATTCTCCAATCTGTCTCACTCAGGTATAGACGCGTTTTATTTATTTTATTTGTTAATTTATTTATTTTCACGTGTTTGTTGGGATTTTTTTTTAAATTTTTTATATGTATGTGAGTTGTTAATGAGTCATTGTTGGTAGTTGTAACGGGTTAAAACACAATTGTAACTGCTTGTCGGATCCAAACTCCTCTCTCAGGAGGGAATATTAGAAAATAAACTGTACCAGGGCATTGTTTTGGGGAGATCCATTCAATATGTCACCCGCAGACAAATACTGTTAATTGTTGGTGCATAAGAAGTCAAAGGTTAACAAACTGGAGATGAGCATAATTACGCTAAAAAGCAGGTTTGAGGAGTATTGATTTGATTGGAATCAAGCGATTTGCACTCTTTTCAGCTCGCCAGTTTACGCAGAGCCTAATGAAAGAGTCTGAAAGCAAAAGTGCTTTTTTGACCAGACACGACGACTCGCCGGTGCGAAGTAATCCCGTCTTATGCTTAATTAATAATATGTAGCCTGCCAACAATGAGGGCGATGTAAGCGGGGATGACGAGGCTGTGCAGTGTTTTCTCCTTCGGTTATACAAGGGCACACGGCATTTTCCCCCTCCCAGTTAAATTTGTGGTGCTGGCGGAGGAGCATGCACCCTCCTCAGCATGGGGAAAGACGGGGCCGGTTTTACAGCCGCACTTGCAGCCGCCTGTCGGTCCCGGGCGGCGGCTGTCACCGGGACGGCGGGAGGGAGCGGGGCGAAGCGGCGGCCGGTGCCGTGCGGGGCGCGGAGGGCGGGGGCGGCTGCGGCGCGGCCGGAGCAGGGGTCCCCACCGCAGCAAAACGCGGGTTTTGCAACCTGAGGGGTTTCGGGAGCAGGTTTGAGAAGTTCCCTGGGTGCCGCGGGAGCGTCCTCGCCGGGAGTACGGTAACGGCGAGCGACCGCCGGGGCACCGGAGCCTGTTCCTGACGGTAAACCCGATCCGCAAAGCCTGGGAATAGTTTTCAGCAGCTTTCGTGAAAGTCTGTCTTAGGAGGATGTGATGTAAACTGATTAAGCGATAACTGCTTGCTTCCACATTGGTGCAACAAATAGCTAAAGAAGTAGAAAATGTGCGAAAGTAGCGTCTCCTGCAAGGCTGCTACAGAGCGGCCAGCGTTGCACTTACAGTTCCACTGTGAATAAATAAATATGATTTAAGTTATTCCTCTGTTACAAAGCATTGTAATTCAAAAGGACTAAAGTATTCATAAATTGTGACTGAAGATGGAAACAATGATAAGGCTTATTCAGTGGTTGGATACAGTCCTGTAGTTTTTTGGCTGACACATTTTTTATTGTTTATATTTTGTTTGGCATCTAAGTGTGATTGACTTAGATATGGATATTTTCAGCAAGTAAACGTGAGCTGAAGTGGAGGAAAGCTGGAAAAGAGTGCTGTTGAGATATTTCTTCTTCAAAAGAGAAGCATTTTGTGTAACAGATACGCACATGCTTACTTACAGGTACACACACAGAAATAATTACTTAGCATGGAATCTGCGGTTAGTAAAAATTCTGTGTAGGCTGTCCAGCCTGTGAAATTACTGATAGGTAGTAAGACTTTGGCATCAGAGTATAAACCTGAGAGTACTACTCAAGAAAGCACTTTTGACATTTGAAACACACAAATTTTCACAACCACCTCTATTGCAGCGGTAGTTCATTTTCTTGTTTCCTGATCTAATGCCTTTTTTTTTTTTTTTCCTCCATATACTTGCTTTTTGGACTCACTGATGTATGTAATAGATTTCCTCATTCTTTACAAATCTGTATTAAAATACTGCACTCAGGTATATATGAAAACACAACATCATACTTCTACAGCCATTAATACATGGAAGCAGTTCCTGGCTTTTGTGTGTTGATACCTTCTCCATAATATTTTGCAATCACACTCTATCATGTGCCAAGCAGAGACAGTTCCCGCTTAGTGATACATACATGGAACACAGTTGCAGCAAATTGATTTTAGTTTGGAATCTTTTTATACCTACTTGGAATGATACATAAATTAAAAATTAAAATTACACTGGCAATGAGAATCTATATGTTGCATTCTTTGTTTAAAGAAAAAGATTGATTCATCTCACTTTGAGTTGTGACTGCATTAAAGTAGTGCTGCCAAAACTGCTCTCTATTGTGATCTCTGTCTCTAGGGCTCTTGCAACGCACATTGACTGTGGTAGTATATGTTCAGAAGAAAATATTTTGGTAAAAGTAAACACAGAACACCTGTTTGAACTGAGCTCCTTGGGAAAGCAGTAGTTCAGTTTGTGCTGAGATAACGCTGAAGCACCTTTCAGAAACAAGTCTAAAATCCAAAGTACAGCTTTAAGACAAACCTTGACACTTTGGATGTTACCTATCACACTTTCAATAAAAGTTTGGTGGGTGAAAATAACTCCAAGGAAGAGGAAAACTTACCAAATGCAATTTAATTTTAGGGGCTCCCTTCCTCTCTTTCCCATATGCCTCTCTCTGTGTTTTGCAATGAACGTAAACTGCGTTTATCTGTCTTGCTGAGGCATGAATAGGATGCAGTTACCGCATGCCTTTTAGTGCTTGCTCGCTTGTAATATTTTTGCGGTGGCTTATTTTCATGTTATGGTAGTCTGGAAAGTCAGAATATGTTGTATTTTCTTTTCCTTGTATATGTTGTTCCACCATTTCTGTATAAAATTTCTATACTTCTGACTGGCTTATTTATTCTGCAGTCCTCAGTTTGAACTCCCATGAATTGATACAAAGTTTATAAAAGTGGAAGACAGGAGAAGTGTGTTACCTATCCCCTTTACCTTTTCCAAAGAGAAAACTTGGCCTATCTATCATCATTGGATGACTGCTATTTTTTCGTTTATTTACAAGCTACATAGATGTTATATAGTAACTTCCATTTTAATTTAAATTGCCAGTTCACAATGGTTCACCTGAGCCATTTGATATGACATTTCAAAATCTTACCTTTATAAATGATTTTATTGTAAGAGACACTGTGATGCATGGATGCATGCCACGTAAAAAATAAAAAACAATTCAATATTGCCTGTGTGAATATTAAGGGAAAAAAATAAAATTCTGTAGATGCCTTTTTAGGAAGTTTAGTGGAGAATGCATGTGATTAATTGCAAATCTTCATTTAGGATCATTTTTATGGGCACCACTTCTTGTCGTCAAGTAGTGTTTCATTTGAAAAGACTCCAGGTGCACAAGGAATTGCTCGAATATATCTGATAAAATTGCTTTAGAACAGGATGTTCTTTGCCGTATTTCTCCTTCACACTCTTTCACCTACATTTATATCTTTAGGACTTAATGATACTGTGAAAGAAAAGCTTGAATACAGTTTTTAAAAGGCTGGGATTCTTGGTGTGTGTTTGTTGTTGTTTTTTTTCCCCTCTCTTTGAAAAGGAAACATTCAGCCAGTACAGATTGGAATTTAAACAGTGGAATTCTTACCTGTAAAATTTTCATAGATGCAAAATGCTGTAAGTTATTATTGGTAATACTGTGTGCATTACCTCAAGGCATAGACATTCTGAAATAGTTTATGATGCTCTTCTTTGAAATTAAAACTAGATGTGCAGTATTCTAGTAGCGTAGAATATGTCCACATTTATTTTATTGCCATTTTAAGTTCTAAATACTGAAGTCGGTTTAGATGTAGGGGAAATCATTGTACTGAGACAAAAATTAATTTCTCCCAAAGCTCTTCAGCCACCTGCCTTCACCTCACCTTTAGCCCCAGCTGTTAGAATTTCTGAAGTCTGTAGTAAATCTGTTTAATTCAGCCTAAAATGAATTACAAGGATTTAACACTGTACAGTCTTTATGCTTACATTAATTTTTCAAAAAAAAAAAAATTTTTTTATTTGAAAACTTCAATTAAGATTACTTCCATAGAAGAAAAAATAAACTTTCTTCAGTAGTTATAACTGAGGGGGGAAAAAGCATGGCATCAGAAAGTGTATGAAGATAGGGAAGTCTTATCACGGGCTGTGGTTACTCAGAGCAGTACTGCCTTCTCACACAAAGAACAGATTGTGGTTTAACTCTTTCAACAACCTAGTTTTATATGCCAGTATAGTATCAAAATTGTTCTGTGGGTCTTTGTTAAGCATCATATTGTAATGCAATTGTTTATGTCCTGAAGTATCTTCCTGTATTGTCTCTCCTTTTTTTTTTGTTCCTTTTCTTTTTTTTTTTTTTCCTGTGAAGAGAACATGATCATAGGTAGACTGCTTGCAACTTTTCTGTTGTTTTCTGTTTGATTTGAGAACAGTTAGGGAAGAGAGGTAACTAGATCTAGTGGGGTTTTTTACCATTCAGGAAATTTTGAAGTTTGTTTGAAATTTGAAGATTTAAAGATGAAATCCTTTGCCTGAAGCTTCTACAATGGCAGTCTGCACTCTATAATTGAGACCATTAGTTATACTTTCATCATTTTTACCTAATGGAGTTAATCAGCCTATTGATTAAACATAATTCATTCCTTGTCTAGCAGCGTAACTAAAATAGTAGTTTGTTAATTGTATTCTTGAATATAATTACATAAAAAAAGATTCAGTTTTAGTTTGATTGCACCGTGCCACTCAGTATGATGAGCAATCTGCATGGTATTTAAAACTAAATATGCCTGCTCACAGGAAGAAAGATACCTCCCCTAAGGTCTTCCTTCCAAATCAAAATACAGTAATGTTTGATAAGCGGATTGCACTGTTTTAAACAGCAGATTTGTTCATGGAAAAGAAGTTTTTGGGAAAGGTCTAATTAGATATTAACATAGATGTGTGGGATGGTACTTTAGGCAGACAAATCAAATTAATTGAATTGCTATAAGATGTACTTGTAGACAACAACTATGCATTACCTCCTTAATGCAATCCATATTGCTGCTAGGCAGAAGATAAGAACTTGCAGGGGAAGCCAAATGACAGAAAAGGATATTTTGAAACTGTAAATAAATTGCATGGATTTCATAAAAGCAGCATTTGACCAGCAGTGGACTCGTAATGTCTTTTTGCCACAGCATGCAGAAACACAAAGAATGCAAAGTTTGTGCCAAGTTGCCATTTTTCATTGTACACCTCAGATTGATTTTTAAGGGGTTTAGAATAATTGCCACACTCATGTGATCAGTTAACAAATTAACTGACTCCGTGGGGCTTCAAAACCCACAGTGGAGCTGCCGGAAGAACATAAATGTAATTTTTCTTCTCACCTTCATAAACTCTAATTTTACAGAGTTTGGGGGATGGTGTGAGGGAAGCCCAAAGAGCTGAAAGTACAGAAGCTTCTGTTCAGGATTTGTATATGACATGGTTTGTCTTTTGCCTGCTTTCCCTTACTGTATACTGGTTTCTCTAGTTACCACCACTGGAATGGTGCTGTTTCAGTGCTGGAATGTTGGACGTTTGATAAGAAAATGGATCAAGTTTAATGGCGCATGCTCTTTGTACCACCAGCAGTCTCTTGCTGAGAGCATGCTCCAAAAGCGGGAACTCTGTGGCATTACACTGAGCATGTATATGCTTTGTGTTTCTGTGCCACAGAGAAGAGAAATGAACTGTGGCATTTGCCTCAGCATTCTGAACATTTCTACTCAGATTTTTTAAAACCGTATAGCGTCCTCTTTGTGCAATGGTACTTTTCTTGATGTTAGCTGTTCACTCAGATATTTAAATGTTAGGGAAAAAAACCATCTTGGTAGCATCGCTTTTAAATTATGTAGTCTCTGCAGCATTGTGGGATGAAGTGAGGGGAGGCATATAAAATAAAATCTTCACATGGTTCTTTCAAAGAATGAAATATGGGGAAAATGTGATTTTCTACGCAGTTCTTACCTGCTGCCTGACAGCAGTAGTAATTTCATAAAAGGTGTTATGCAGAAATCTGTGTAACTTTTAAGTGTTTATTCTCTTTGTCTTGTATTTCACTTGAAGATTTTCAAAAACCTTTCTTGATACTGCTTCAGTTATGAGATACTGACTTTCAGTTTTCTTTTTCTCTTCTTCATTTTTTTCCTTCACTTCTTTCCACAGGATGAATTTCACCCGTTCATTGAGGCGCTTCTTCCACATGTCCGTGCAATTGCCTATACTTGGTTCAATCTTCAGGCTCGAAAACGCAAGTACTTTAAAAAACATGAGAAACGAATGTCAAAGGATGAGGAAAGAGCAGTCAAGGATGAGCTACTTAGTGAAAAGCCTGAAATTAAACAGAAGTGGGCATCCAGACTCCTGGCCAAGCTGCGCAAAGATATTCGCCAAGAGTTCCGGGAGGATTTTGTGCTCACGGTGACTGGGAAGAAGCACCCATGCTGTGTATTGTCCAATCCTGACCAGAAGGGCAAGATTAGGAGAATCGATTGCCTGCGGCAGGCTGACAAAGTCTGGCGTCTGGATCTAGTCATGGTGATCCTGTTCAAAGGCATCCCCTTGGAAAGTACGGATGGAGAACGTCTCATGAAATCCCCACATTGCACAAATCCAGCACTTTGCGTCCAGCCACATCACATAACAGTATCAGTCAAGGAGCTTGATTTGTTTTTGGCATACTACGTGCAGGAGCAAGGTAGGAAGCAGATTGTCATATTTCTATGTTAGTGTGTCAAACTCTGATTCCAAGTAGCCCTATTTCCCCTGTGGGCTGCTACCAGTGAACATTATTCTGTGGTCTGTAGACGTAGTGTGGGTACATACTCATTTGTAAATCAGCATGTGTACAGATATACTTAAGCACACATATATTCCTACAGACCTGTGTGACATGCATGTTTGATATACGTGCCTTGTTCTCTTTCAAGAGAGACACATACCAAGGCAGTACTTTCATTCCACTGAAGTTGCCTTTTTTTTGGTCAAAAAGTGGAAATATATAACTGTGACTTCAGAAAACAGTCTTCTTTTAAAAAAAGCAAACCACCAAAACCAACCCCTCCAGTAGTGTTAGTAACAGATGAAGGCATGTGCAGTTGTACATACTACCAATATTTATTATTGTCTTCGTAGTTACAAATAACCAAGAAGTTATCCTTAAACTGATGAATCTGCTATCACATGGAAGAGCAACTGTAGACTTTCTCATGCCTATAAAACAAAACTTGAAAATACTTTAGCACAGATATACTTCTTGTATTTACCAAATAGAATCAGAATTACAGCCTACATTATCTAATCTTTTATTAATATTTTACATCGCTAGCTTATCTTACCTATGTGAGCTTTAAAACAAAGATCCAGGTCATATTATTTTGAGATAATTTTCTATGTAAAGTATATTTTCATAATCACACTCATATACTTTAATTTGGCAAGTAATTGAAATATGGAAAATTGCAGGAGCTCTATAGAAAAGCTTCTTAAACTTAGTTTCTGCAGAATGCAAATAAAAGCAGGGCTTCTGATAATCATGTATCAGGGCAAAAACCTACTAGTCATATTGCATATTCAATAAAAATACTCATAAGCACGTTCCCTAAAGTTGTAAATGGTTGTAAGTCGATAAAGGTGAGGTTTTTTTCTCTGATGCCAAGGCTTCTGAAATGCGTTTTCTCTGTTAGGAATCATTTTGGTTCTTTCTGGTGATGATACCATCTTCTGTGTGTCTTTGTACTGCTGACTGATCAGCAGTAATAAAGCATTTATTTTTTAGGTGCAGATCTCAACTATGGAAAGTTTGACCATCCGCAGATGGTGGGGCCATTTCACAACTTGGCCTGGTAGTAGGCAGAAATGGTCTGCAGAAGGGCAGATGGCAGGCTGTTATCTGATGCCCGATAAATAACTGCAGGATTTAACTGGAAAACAAATGGAATTGATTTTTTTAGTAACAAAAAAGTAAAATTGCACGGCTTCATTTGGTGTGTACTCATTCTTTCAAAGAATAGATACAAAACACAATCTTTTTATTTTAAGTGAACTCTTTTAGCAGTTGCCAATGCAAGAGGAGTGCTGTTTAAGTGATCATATAAATCAGGTTCTTTTTTTTTTGATTATTTGTCATGAAAAAAAAGAAGTGTTGTTTTTCCCCCCCCCTTACTTGTATTTTTTGTGGGTTTTGTCTCTCCACAGCAGCAGACACGTTTAGATATTTTACAGCAAATTTAAGTAGCTGCAGAGTCTGGTAAATCTGATAGGAAGAAAGATTTCTTTGATAACATTAAACAAAATAGCTTAATTACAAATAATTTGTACCTTTAAACTCCTTTTGTGAAAAAAAGTTCAAATTATATTTTGAATGCATTATAGTGTAAGACATAGCTTACTGATTAATTCTATGGATTTACCCATCTCTAAAAGTCAAAACTGCAAAAGGAGGCAAAACAGTTTAAGCAGCTCTTGAGCTGAAGAATCTGGGGTCAGAGTACTCTTAACACACTGCCTACTTACAAGTTGTTGGAAACTAGTAGCTTGAAGTGGGAGAAGGAATTGCAGGGCATAACTGATTTTGTTGATTTAAATGGATTCAGAAGATGAGTTTATTTAAAATACTTGTCTAATCAGAAATTAGTAAGATAAGCATGCTGTAATGTTATAACTTTCAAAGTTACACGATGGTACTTTGAGAATATACTGAAAGATGAAGCTGGTTAATTTCTATATACCAAGTCACTCTTAGGAGACCCTTTTGTTTATTGTAAACTGCGTGTATTTTGTATCTGTCTTGGTGCTTTACAGTAAATTTTCCATTAACATCTTTTGGCGCGCTTCTTGAAGAAGTCATACTAAGCTATCTATGTATTTTTTTCCCATTTTATCAAACTTTGATTCTCTATACTCCTTGACAGCAGGTTAATTGTGGCACTTTGTAGTGTACTTGATTAAGAGCGCCAGGCTTTGTGAAAGATAAGCATGAAGTCAACCAAAATGCTGCTTTATACATATGGTGTTTTGCCTTTTATTTATCTTTCCAAAGATATAAATATACCTAATAGTATAATGTAAAAGCTAAGTGGAAACATTGAAACAATTAAATCCCTGAATGAAATATGAAGAAGGAATTAGCACATAACATGAATAAAGGGGCCAAGTAGTTTGCTTTTTTGTTGCTTTAAAAAAAGAAGATTAGGGAAAAAAAGAGGAGGAAGGATAGTTCGAGTGCCAGTGATGGTTGCCAGTGGCACCAGGATTGGCATCAGACCTTCTTTGTTTAGCCTAGGATGTCTGTGATTTGTTGGTTGGCATCCGCATTGCAGTGCAGAGTAATGTTACAATATATTGACAATTTCCAGATCTAGAAGTGTCAATAATCTTTTCAGTTCTTAACAAAAAGAGCTGCTACTTCCATATCTGCCTTGAAAGAAGAAATTAGGACTGATCTATGAAGTTCTGTCACTGACCAACTTCCTCTGATTCTACTTTTCGCTTATCTCAACATTCAGCATCTTTTTTTTTCCCTCTGAGCTCTTTCTGCTATGCTCTTGTGATTTAAGATATTTAAAAAAAAATAAAAAAGAAAAGAGGATTGTCATACGTTGTGATGCTGCTGCTTTGACTGAAATGGAGGAAGAAATGGGAAGTATATACTGTGATCAGTGTTTAACATCAAAATAATTCTTGATCATAAGACACTTCCACGGGGTTCTGCCTCTTGTGTGTATCAGGTGTGTGTGTATGTCCCTCAAAGAGATTTTATAAAACCCAAACTCAAAGATGGCATGAGTGCTGTTTCTATTGACAAAATTGCCTTTCCCCCCCCCGCCACTGTCAGGCATCGGAGAATGTCTATCATTTGCTATTTCAGTCCATAAAATCATTGGATGGTATTTGATTCAGTGCAGCGCTTATGCTGTGTTCCCGTTGCTACAAGAACCGCCATTTTGTTTGTTGAGTGCCAGGAGAAGCGAAAAAAAAGGCAGACAATGTGCTTGATGCCAATAATGGTTGCCAGTGGCACCGAGGTTGGCATCAGACCCTCTTTGTCTAGTTGCTGAATGCCTTTGATTCGTTGGTTGGCATCCGCATTGCAGTGGGCACATTGGAAAGTTTTTGACAATCAGTGAATGAAAGCTGCAGTACTTGTTTGCTGCAACAGAACCTAGATAATATAAATCCCTTCTTCTGATATATGTTTTACTTATTCTTACAGTAATTAAAAAAAATAAATTAAAAATTACCTTCCTTTTTTTTTTCCTAAAACATAAAATACCTTTAGCAATGTGCCTAGTCTGCAGGATTCGTAAATCCTGCATCACCTCTGCTACTTTTATTTTTGCAGCATAAATAAAATCCTAAATTGATGTTACGTATTTCAGCATATGCTGAATGAAGCACAGTAGACCTCGAGAAATGTTTTGGGAGTTTAAAGTACTGAAGCAATGGTACATGTAAATGTTAACATTTGTAAGTGTTTTTAGTGCATGTGCCTCTCAGAGTATGTTTCTCTGATCAGTCATGTTACTGTTTACACTCTCCTTTGTCCTTATGTAAGGGTGATATAATTGGGGGAGCCCACATTCCCAGCTGTTAATAAACTCTGGAGTTGAGAGAGGAGAGGATCTTTTAAACTATCCAGGGAGTGGGGCAGAAAACAGACACAGGTGTCCTTAGTCCTGTACTATATAGGCACTTTTGGTTTTTTAGAGTCTTAAACCATCAAGATGCTGCCACAGCTCCAGCTGCGTGACTTTGTTACCAGGAAATTGGCAAAAAGAATAAATCATTTCTGTTGGAAGTTTCTTAGATAGTTAGCATTAATATTGCTTTCCGGTTAACTGCTATTATCTTGTTAATTAATAAGAAGGATTAGCAGCTCTACCCAAAGGGCTGCACAGAAGGAAGCCTGGCCGATGTGAGTCCCTGAGTCGCCAGACTGTGTCCTGTCTCTTGGGGATTGGAGTGGGGGGGCTGGGCCAGGAAAAAAAAGAGAAAGCAAGAGAAAAGAGATGAGAGAAGAACGAGGGCACCGGCCAGCCATGAGGAGAACTTTGTGTGCGGGACCCTCCTGCCGTGCTGCCCCTGCTGCTGCCGGGAGGTTGGCAGGTGCCGGGTGTGGGGATGGCTGTGCCCTGGCCCTGCTGTAGGTGTCCTGACCCCCACTAGTGTGGTGCAGACAAGGGGCTCGGACATACCTTGCTTTTGGTGTGCTCTGCACTCATAAAAAGCACGTTTGCAGACGACCCCAGCTGGGGTGCAGGGTGCTGCAGCCGTGGTGAGTCAAAACTTTTGCCACACAGCTTAATGCCAGCAAACTGGCAATCCCTAACCAAGTGGGGATATTGTTTTTTCACTTTGGATGGTCCCGGCAACATGTGCACCTTGTCTTACTTGAAAAATATGCCCTCCTTCCAGAGGGAATTGTAATTCTTTTTTGAACGTAATATATATGAATTGCAGAAGTGGGTGGGTTTATCAGTGGGTGGGTTTATCAGTGGCTTGATCTTTTTTAAAGCTTTTTGAATGTTGTGAATGTATTTCTTTAGGGAGGTCAAATTTTGAAAGAGGTTTGTATAGTAGTTTTCACGTTATTCTTTAGTTTTCACATAGAAAGTATAGCAAATTTATTATATAAACATGTTATAACAATTCTTTCTATATTTTAATATGATAAATAAAATTATTTTGGTTAGTTTG